TCGTACAAGTGGATCCACGCAAAGCTGTCTAGGGATGGTGCGTGTGGCCCTGTGCCGTCCCACAGGCCGGAGGGTCGGCGAGGCCAGCACTCTGCTGCTGAGCTCCAGGCCCCCAAGTTCAACGGCCTGTTCACATCTTTACTCAGACACCTCACAGGTGCTCCCAACTTCCTACACCCCAAACTGAATTCATTAGCCTCTCCTAAGAAAATGATTCCTTCCCCAAGTCTCCCCACACGACATCCGGTACTCAGGTACCCCTTCACCTCCCACATCTAAGCCAGAACCGAGTCCTGAATCCCTCCTCTCCCTCCCCCTCCCACTGCTGCCTTGTCCTCAGCACCTTGATCTTCACCTGGTACCGCCACAGTCCATCAAATTCATCTCCCTGCTTCCTTCCATCCCTTCTAACCCACGCCCTACAAAGAAGCCACAACATCCTAGAAACAGTAAATCAGAATCACTTTCCTCCCCTACTCAAAACTCGTTACTCCCTTCCCCTGGAATAAAACCCAGGCTCCTCACCTCGGCTTATGAGTCCTGCACAGTGTGGCCCCGCCAACCCACCACCCCCACAAGCTAAACTCAAGTGACACTGGCCCTCCTTTAGCTCCTCAGACACACCAAGTTCCTCCCTGCCTCAGGACCTTTGCACACACTATACCTTGTGCAAGGAACACTCTCCCCCCACTACCCAGAGAGACCGAGAAACAGAGAAGAAGGGCATCATTCCTCACTTTGCTGGCTCTGACACCTGCTCTAGGTCACAGGTGATAAGTCACATCCGCAGCAAGGCTCCCTTCCAGCAGCTCTAAGTACTCTCTCAGCATGGCTGGTTTGGTTGAAATTGTGAGTCGTGAAATTTACGTTGTACATCCAACAGGTGGGATCCCAGCCAGTCATCAGGTCTTGCCCCAGAGCCCAGGTGTCATTCCAGACTGCCGTCACCTGCCTCCCTGAGCCGCTCACAGCTCAGCAATGGTCACAAGCAATGGTCACGCCAAACCATTCTTGTCTGCTCTGTGCCTCAGTGCTCCTGGAGCGCCATCAGGGCAGAAACCGTATTCATCCCGCCCCTCGTTACATTATCAGCACTTAACGCAGCGCCTGGCCCGCAGCTGGTCTGCAACAAAGTATCTGCCAAAGGAAGGAGGCAGGAGATCTGAAAGCACTAAAGGTTTAGAACAAACTTTCTTCCAAGACCAGGTGATGTTCAAAAGGAAAAAAAAACCACACACACACACAATGCTAAACATGGCATATGCTTAAGATTTTAAATTTTATATGTAAAGAAATGACCTTGTACTCATTTTATTTTCGTATAAAGAGGAGCATAAAACCGCAAGGGATGCAGAAAAATGAAGTTTTATAGTGTGCAGTAAATAAAAAAAGAGAAGGGTGGGGCCCAATCATTGAGGGGGGAAGGAGCCGTGGTACAGAACAGAAATAGAAACAGATGTAGAGATAAGAGACAGATCAAGAGAGAAACCAGCAGAGGTATCGAGGCAAGGTACAAAACAGGGCTTCACTGCTCTTCTGGGAATGAAAGGGCAACCCCCCAGATTTCGAAAGGGGTTTTCACTCCACTTACAGGGTAATAGCATTTGTCTTAAGTCTCCTCTTCATTTTTCAAAGAAGCTTTTTAAAAAGGGACTTACTACATTCAAAATCAGTGGTTAGCACATCGCATTCTGAAGAGAACACAGTCTATTCAAATAATTTTTTAAAAAAAATACTCTACTCTGTATCTTTAGAGAATGTGGCTGCAAAGCTTGAAGTCATACACTGGGTTTTCAAAGTCACGAGCATGAAGAGGGAGGGCTCCTTGGGGGCCGTCAGAAGGAGGGGCGTGAACTTCAAGCACAGTTCAGCAGGGACTTTTGGGCTGCACGTCCAGCCTGTTCCCTTCTCTGGAACTTTCCATGGCCCCAGCCCTAAATGAATGGGTGAGCAGAGCCTAGCACTGCACATGGTCCAACCTCTCTGGCCAAGCCAATTGGACCAGTGGGCCTTCCCAAGCAGAGCCAGTTAGAACCTGCCCGAGAAATCACAGTTTGGGCCCCAAAAAGCCAGTGCGGTGCCAGCACATAAAAGTGATAGGCAGGAGGTGTGGGCATTTTTCCTCTGGGCTTTCTCTGCCTTGTAAGAGTGTGGAGTCAGGGAAAGACGGTCTGAAGAGACCTGAAAAATCAGGAACGTTGTATAGCAGAGAGAGCCAGACCCATGGGTCCAAATCCCAGGCCCATTCGACAGCTATGACCTTGAACAAGCTCCTTGACCTCTCCTTGACCTCACTGTAACCTGCTTTTAGGGCTCCTTTGAGGATTAAATAAATTAACACATACAGCACTTGGAACAGAGGCTGACACACAGTAAATGCATGCTGAATGGGAACTGTTGTTATCCTTTTGCTCAACCGTAAGGCTGAGACATTCTCGCTATTTTGGACACACCACAGCCCAGGGTCTAGAACCAAGCCTGGTACACGGGAGTCCTCAAGTAATGCTTGTTGAGTGGTCAGGGAATGAAGATACAACACAGCCCTGAGAAGACAGAGGCCCTGGACAGAGTCTGCTGACTTTCTTCCTCATCTCAGCCCCTCCACCAACCGGGCAATCCTGGCCGGGGCTTCTCAACGCCTAAAATCAGGTCACGCTTCGTACCTGCTTTTCGTGTCTCAGGATAAAGCCAAACTCTCCCCGCTGGCTACCCAGGCCCTGCACACTCTGGCCCCTGCCTGCCTCCCTCCCCCTCCCTCCGGTCCTCTGGCTATATTGGCCTCCTCTGCTCCTCTAACGTGATTCCCTCTGCTGCCTTCTGCCTCCAGGCACTTGCACACGCAGAGGCTCCCCCTGCGCCCTCAGCCCCAGGCTGAGGGAAATCTTCACAAGTTCTTCCCTCATTTCCACTGGCTCCTCCATTTCACATGCCCAGAGGCTCACGTTCTTTTCCTTTCTGCCACTTTGCTGCCGTTTGTACTTTTATCATTTGTGCGTGACGATTTAGTCAATGATTCTTGCTTCTAGACCATGAGCTCCTTGAAGAAAGAGATCATGGCTTCATTTTTATTCTTCGTTGTATTTTCGTATCAAGCACGGTACAGGGCAAAAAGCAGGGGCTCAACGAATACTTGCAGAATGAATAAATCCACTTGCTGAATGGACCGACTGTGACTGAACAGAGAAGTAAATTTGGGACCATTTTCAAGTCTGGCTTCTTTCAGAGTTGAGTCTCCTGGCCTGGTTTTGCAAGTGTAGCCTTCTTTTCTAATCGGCCATAAGAGAGTTTCTCTATCATTACTAAACACACAGACGAACTGATTCCAACATACAGACCAACGGCGTCCTCTGAGGAGTCCCCATCCTAGAGTGGATAAGCCTAGACCAATAATGATACAAAGACTTCCTTTTCCAAAAAAGAAATTTTCATGCATGACGGAGTAAATGGTATCAGACCAGCTGTCCCGCCATAAACCACTATAAATCAGGACAAACATATATAAGGTAACTATTTTCAGGCATTTTTTAGATAGCAGGCAGCATATGACTGTGGCCACTGAGGGAAAGGAAACCCTGGAGTCCACATTCACTCCAGTTCTCTGCCTGAGGACCACTTCCACACCACCAGCATGCAGTCACCTCCCCGACCAGGCATCCATAAAGGTTACTGACACAGAAGGGGCCATGGGAAACACCTTGGGCTTTCCACAGATCCACCATAACTAAATCAAGTCTCCACAAGTTGAAAGTGATCAGCCGGCTGCTGAAATTGTCTTTAAAGGAAGATAACAAAATCCAGAGTCTCAATATGTAAGCATGTTATCATTACAATGTTAGAATACAGTCGACAATCACTAGACATGCAAAGAAAAAGGAAAATGTGACTCAATGTCAAGGAAAAGAAACAATAAAGAGACACAGAGGGTGATGTCAGCTCTGGAAAAAGCAACTGCCAGGATGTGGAAGTCCCTATTATTATCATAAAAGTCCTTAACCAGGTGTATACACCCAAAGCACCGACAGAGATTTCAGAGATCGTGGACTTTTGTTTGTTTGCTGGTCTCAGCTCTACTCGTGTTATATAATTCCTCATTAAGTAGTTTCAAGGGATGCTTAGGAATCTGCATTTTTAACAACCTCTCTAGAGGGCTTTTATACATGCTACAGCAGATTCTTATCATCGAATACACCCACCTTAAGGCAAATGCAAATAAAAGTTAAATTTATATGTATTGAAGGTTCTGCTTAATTGAGTTGGTTGGTGGGCACCAAGCAGCACTCCCTGGTTGAATAGATTACACAATTAAGAAAGATAATTTCAACTCTAATTATTTTGCAGCAAAATGCATTCTTCTCTACTTATTTTGACCAAAAACAAACAAAAAAAAAAAACCTGAGGTTACATCAAAAGCCAGAGACATTAAAGATAATGATTAAGAAAAAACTGGAGGAAACGTTCATGGTATATTTTCAAAATCAGAACACCAATCACCATAACATTAAGCACATAAATGTATATCAATAGACACTGCCGTGTTTGAGAACAGAAAGAAGGCAACAAGCAATATATCAAAATGCTAATAATATTTACTTTGTGTGTAATTTTAATTTTCCCCTAGTTTTCTATACTTTACAAGAGTGTACAGATTTTCCTCACTGGACTCTCATCTGAAATTTAAACACAAAATAACAGCTTCAGAAACCTTCTGTCAATACACAAACCCCTGGAAAACTCTAGCAATTTTTCAATCAGAAAGAGAAGGGAAGAAATAGCTTAAGAATATCATTTCTATCCTTATCCAGCTCAGGAAGACTTTCTTCTCTGGCCTCCGAGTAGCTGGACTTCTGATACTAGTTCCATCTCAAACTTCCCATCCGTCAGACAAGTAGGAGGTTGAGATACATACCACAATCCAACAAATAACAGACAGTGGCTGAGCAAAAAAAGATCACTTGGTGGAAATTGAAGGACACAAAAAGGAAAAGAATTCATGTTCGTACCTGAACGACGGGGTGGCCACCTGTTGGAGCTTTGACAGCCCCTCGACTGCCTTCTGTCTCATAGTGGGCCCGGTGATGTGGCTTGGGCTGCACCTCAATCCGCAGCTCATAGGAGCCTGACTGGTGGGAGAGTGGCCACTCGAGTGGAGGGAGGGATGCGGTCACCGGGATACTGCAAGAGGAAATAGAATCAGTCATGCGTACAAGAAATCAGAACCAGTCAACCTGTACTATAAACGTAAATGGTCCCTTTTCTGAAAAATCATGTCCAGAGGGTATGAGAGTAAAGTACTGGCTGTTGGAGAGCACATATTTCTCAGACAGGGTAGGTAGGATTCTACACGTGATAAAGATCTTTTCCTTTGTTTTGTCTTCCATCCTTGATGAAAACAGCGTGACTGACATCTTAGTTTACAAAGCTAATTTCATTACATGTGAGTTCTCATATTTCTAAATGCTATAATTCCTTTTTCTCTGGGAATTTTGAAGAGTACTACCTCCGTCCTCTAAAAATCACCCCTCACCCAGAATGTTCTCCTTTTCCAAAGGAGTGAGTATGGGAGAAGATACCCTGAAGTGGAAATCAGGGGCCCGCGTGGGTCACTGGTGATGCAGTGTGACTTTAGGCAAGCAACCTCACCTCTTCTATCTCCAGTGTCTCATAATATGTTTCAGCTCTTTCATTTCCAAGTTTGATCCTCTCAATTAAAATCTACTTTTAGGGAGAGACCATTTCTAGTCATGGCCATTGATCATCAGGACAAGTAAAGAACATCTAACCATAGAGAGGGGTCTGGTTTTGGTACGGATGAGTCAAACCACCCAGACCCCCTAAATTTAAAGGACGAATAAAAGTCAAGAACATGACTGGAGTCACCCACCCACGTTTAGGTCCAAGCTCCACCTCTAACTACGTTGAGCAGATGCCTCTATCTCCCTAGGTCTTAGTTTCCTCCATTGTGAAATGGGGCTACAGCAATCATATGAAGAGCTTAGCACAAGAACTACTCAAAAAATATTAGACTATAATTATGTTTCCCTGTACATACACTGCATACCTCAAAGTTGTCTCCTATAATCTAATTTACTTGTGGTTATGGTATTAGATATATAAGCCTTTACATCTGAAGTTGTAATGACATCCATTAAGTTTCATTTTCTTACAGAATCTTAACCCTACCCAGCACACCCAACAGGTGCTTGACATATGGTTAGGATTATATCATTTAAGAGTTAACCAAGGTCTTAATGATCCACCTAGACCATTCCTTCAGAGTCTCAGAGAACACAGATATCTTCCCAAGATTACAAGGTTCCAACTTATGTCTCTGGACTCTTAGTCCAGTGCTCCATGGTCATCTCTATGCTACTAGAGATATGCTATTTCTTATCTTGCTAACTGACTTAAAACAGGGCCAAGAAAATATTTCATTTATAGAATGACTCTAGAACAACACTTGATATTTGATCAGTTCTCAGTGAATATTCAGTGGGTGGGTGGGTGGGTGGGTGATGGACGGATAGATGGATGAGTGGATGAGCCGTTTTATTTCAAAGAAGCCCTGTATATTCAAAGTAGCTTCAAAGCTGCAAATGCATGGATTTGTGTCACTGTGTCCTGATTTTGCACATGGTGGCACCAATCATTAATCCAACCAGGATATTTCTTTTCCACTAAGCCCCGAGCTGCTGAAAACTGACATTATCAACTGAACTTAGTTAGGCATTTGCAAAGAAGCCAATTCCACCCTTTCTCCATCACAGCACTACCGGGGGGCGATGCAGGGGAGCGGCACCCCAAAAACTCCACCAGTGCTGGAACCCAACTGGAACATGCAGTCCAACTTAAAATTATGTCCTACGATGCAAGCAAATCTCCATCTCTTCTTCACCACTAGATCACCTCCCGAAACCCCATCCCCACCCTTGCCCTGAAGTCTTAGTGGTCACCTGAGTTTCAATCTCAACGTGCCTTGCAGCTTCTGCCTACAGCCAAGCTGCTACGTGTTACATACTCACACTGTCACTGTGTATCCAAGTTCATTTTTTTTAATTTGAAAAATATGGCTCATTAAAAAAAAAATCGCCTCACCCCTGTACTATCATCGTCTGAAGTCTCAAAAAACTTCAGGGAGTAGAAGACCCAGTGGACTATCTCCAAGTATCAACTTCAAATTTTGTTTGGTTCCAGAATTAAGTCTTTGATGACTACAATACAATCTTAAGAATGAGACCATCGGAACCAATGTGAAATTCTGCACTTGAACTCCAGCCCTCTGCTCCACACATCTGGAAACAAATATTATCATGAGACTTCCCTGAACATCCCATTCTCTCAGTCTTACAGAAAATTCTTACAAATATCTCATCAGCTGGCACAAATTGGCCCTTGTAGGGACTAAAGCCGTCTGCCATTATTCCGGAACCATTTGGATCAAGAATAGAGAAGGAATGGGGGACGCCTGGGGTGGCTCAGTGGTGAAGCGTCCGACTTCGGCTCAGGTCATGATCTCACAGCCTCGCCTGGAGCCTGCTTCATTTCTGTGTCTCCCTTTCTCTGCCCCTCCCTGACTTGCACTCTGTCTCTTTCTCTCTCTCTCAAAAATAAACATTAGAAAAAATTTTTTAAAGAAGAGAGAAGGAAGGATACACAATAAAGTCTTTATAAACAATAAGGTCTCAGACCAATGCAGCACAATCATACTTTATATTAGTGTTCCTCCCCAATCTCAATCATTGAATATATTTTGCAGACTGATCTGTAGCAGAAATGAGTCAAGAATTTGAGATTCTAAGTGTCCAACTCCGTCACTGACAAGCTGGGTGATCACAGGCACGTCCACTCGCCTCACCAAGCCCAGGCTTCTCAACCTGCACCAGGAGCTAGCCTTGATCAGTGTTTTCTACGGTGGCTCCACACGACTTTGGTCACAGAACTCAGAACTCCGTGGCCAAATGGCCTTTGAGATCACTGCACGTTCTGTCCACAGCTGGGAGTGGCCTCTGCATAAAGATATCTGTTTGTTAAAACTCAGAAACTCGTGTTTTAAGGAACACCCATGGACCTGTGATGGTGTTCTCAGAACCGCTTTAGAGGAAGAGCCAGACTGAAAGGCCTCCGTGGTCCAGTTTGGTCTGATGTGGGATAAGCAAGCCCCAGGGGACACAGCCCTTGACTACTCTCACCCCATCAATCAAAACAGCTCTAACATAATCTATTTTGATATTCTATTTAGTATTTTAAAAAATATTTAAAAAAAGAAAGAAAGAAAAAGAAAAAAAGTTTCCCATTTGCTATAACCAAACACTTTGATGAATCAACAGCCCCTGGCACCTGGGTGGCTCAGTAGGTTAAGCATCCGACTTTAGCTCAGGTCATGATCTCACTGCTCATGAGTTCGAGCCCCACGTCAGGTTCTGTGCTGACAGCTCAGAGCCTAGAGTCTGTTTCCAATTCTGTCTCCCTCTCTCTGCCCCTCCCCTACTCATGCTCTGTCTCTTTTTCTCTCTCTCACTCTCAAAAGTAAATAAACTTAAAATAAATTTAAAATTAAAAAAAAAAGAATCAACAGCCTCATGCTATTACTGTCACCCCACGGTTTTCAAAGTGTCGAGATGATTTTTATTGTCGTTTTCAGGGAACGTCATGTGCTTCTAACCTCTGGACGCCTCATTTTTCTTAGCATCAAAATGAAGATGAAAACAATACCAACTAGATTTACTAGAGAATAAAACGATACATGGAAAAAACTTACAGTTGTGCCTGGCAGGTAGCAAGCACCCTCAAATGCTCATGATTATTATGGTCACTGTCATTACTCTAACCACCACTGCGAGCTCAATCTTCTAGGACAAGGCTTGTCCATGAGGAAGTACTTTCTAAAGTTCCTCCTAGGGGCGCCTGGGTGGCTCAGTCGGTTAAGCATTCAACTTCGGCTCAGGTCATGACCTCACGGTTCGTGGGTTCAAGCCCCGCATTGGGCTCTGTGCTGACAGCTCAGAGCCTGGAGCCTGTTTCAGATTCTGTGTCTCCTTCTCTTTCTGACCCTCCCCTGTTCGCTCTCTCTCTCTCTCTCTCTCAGAAATAAAACATTAAAAAAAATAAAGTGCCTCCCTGATAAGAAGACCTCCCCCCCTAAAAACAGCAGCTGCCCCTTTTTTTGCACTCTTACTTTGTGCAGGCTCCATGCCAAGATTTTGATACATACCCTGTTATCTTGCCAAGAAAAATGAAAACACATAATGAGGTAGGGACTAACCCACAGGGAATGAACCAGGGTTTAGTAAGGAGGTCCTGATCGATTAGCAATGTCTGCCTTGGGCAGGGCCTCAGAAAGATGCTGGGTGAGAAAGCGTGTCCTGCTTGACTAGCGATGCCTGTCCTGGGCACAGCAGGTGGGCGGCACCAGAAATGCCCATGATCACACAGCCCTCCCCCCCCAGGGGTAGAACCAGGACTCAGGTCCCGTCCCGCGGATCCCCAAAGCCTACACACCGCCATCTACACGCATCTGCCTCGGCTCGCCACGATTTTAACCTCCTCAAGGATTAGGGCTCACGCTTTCTTTGTTTTCGGCCCTCCAGTCACCGGGAGGCGCACAGCAGATGCCGGGAAACCCCGATTCCCCTTTGAGGAGGCCGGTGAACCCCACGTACGAAGGCTTGCTCTGCGCTCCCCGTGATGTCCGCCCCACGGAGGCGGAACTTTTGGCCCGTCTGGTTCCCCACGGTCTCCCCCCAACACCCACAAACAGCAGGTGCTGGATAAACCCCGTAGGGCCGATGCACGAACAGCACGCGCTACGGGGCAATCCCGGCGCGCTCGCCGCCGCCTGGGGAGCAGCAGGTGCGCACGTGGAGACACACCTGCGGACTGAGCCGCCCCCCCCCAAGTCTGGCAGCCCGAAAGAGGGAGGGCCTGGGCGTCGCCCGGCGTGTCCCCGACTCCGAAGCGCCACGCCCCCCCCCCCAGCGCCCCGCTCCCGGCTCACCTGCAGAGGGGGAGCGCCGGCACCAGCTGCTTGGGCCACGCGGGCGGCATCAGCAGGATGGACTCGGGGGCCGAGCTCCTCCTCTCCTCCTGCTCGCTGGGCCCCAGGAACTCCACGGCCGGGTACACGTGGCGCGGCAGGCCGGCCTTGGGCGGGGCGGCGGACGCGGGCGCGGGCTCGGGGCTGGTCTTCCACATCTTGGGGGGCACGCCGCACGGCGCGTCGGCGGCGAGGCTGCTGAGCGCGTCCATGAGGACGGCGGGGCCGGGCGCGCGGCCGGCGGGCGCGCCGCCGTCGTCCCGGGGCTGCGGCGAGGGGCTCCGCGAGCGCTGGGGCGAGGCTCCGGGCAGCGCGGCGAGCGGGGCCCCGGCGCAGGAGTGCCGCCGCTTGGCACCGGGCGACGACGAGCGGGAGGCCGGACGGGGCGCGGGCGAGTGGCGGCCCAGGCAGCTGTCCTCAGCGAGGCCGGTTCGAGGTGACATTATTGGCGAGGTTCTGGGGGAATAATGAGCAGGGATGTTTTGAAACTGGGGGCACAGGTCGTCGGGCCCGCCGTTATTGGGCGAGACGCAGGGCGAGGTGTAGGGGGAGAAGGTGTCGGAAATGAAGCTGGCAGAGGAGCCGCTGCTAGCGGGGCTCAAGCAAAGCGGCTCGCGGTAGCCCTCGAAGCCGGGCACGGGCAGCGTGAACCGCGGGCCGGCGGCGGCCACCCCGGCCGGGGGCGGCGGCTCGCCCAGCAGGCCGGCGTCTCGGGGGGCGCGGAGGGGGCCCCCTGCCTGCATCAGTTCGTGAGACGGAGTGATCTCGATGCGCGGGCTCGGGCCCGAGCTCAGAAAGTTCTGCGGCCCCGCCCGATCGGGCTCTCCGAATCGGCCCGGGGGCTCGCCGGGGAGACTGGGGAGGGGGCTGTATGGCTTGAGGCCATAGTCCAGGACATCATCGGGGTATGCGAGTCCGGAGGGTGGGCTGGCGACATTATGTGCATTCGGTTCTTCTGGAAAGAGAAGGGGGGAGGGAGGGGTCTTTTTAAGCCTCTAAAACAGAACTCCCAGGCAGAGCAATCACAGATCGGGTTTTGTCTCCTCTTTTTCTTTTTTCTTTTCTTTCTTTTTTTTTTTTTAAATAATCCCCACCGTGCCAAACCCCCGAGCTGGGACCCCCTTCCCTCACCAGAGGAAAGGGAGGCCACTTCATCCCAGACTCCTCCAAGACAGAGATGGAAGCGGAAAGATTTCAGCAGGTGCACAGAGCACAGCTCGGTCAAGCCATGCAGCGCTAGCCAGAGGCCTGCAGGGCGCCCCCGGCCAGCGACTTCCAAACTTTTCGTTGGGGGCTGGGGGGGGGACGGGACACCCTTGGAAGAAACGCACTTTCTGGCACCTTCTGTCACAGCTTCACGCCAGATCTACTGGAGACCGAAACAGATGCTTTGTGAAGCAGCACTTACTTACCCTTATCTTTCCTCTTGTCTGGGGTTATTGGGTTTAAATGCTAGTTGCAAGTCATTCAACAGATTTCCTGCCCAACCCCCCGGGGGAGGGGGGGGCAGGACCCACAGTCTGAAAACCATGGGCTAGGCTCCTTTCAACAATTTGCACCTTTGGTGCAGCCCCGGGATGCAGCTCTGGAGTCCAAGGAGCTCTGGGTTCAAATCCCAGCCGCGCACACTCCAGTGTAAATAGTGGCTTAACTTAGAACCAGGACCCCCGAGTCACATCTGATCTTGGGCCATTTTGCAGATGAGGATACTGAGGGCCAGGGAAGGGTAGGAATGTGCCCAGATACACGGAATGTTAGCAGGATGAGAAACCCCACAGACAGGCCCCTGGGCCCTCAAAAGGCAGAGCCGCGGCTAGTAGTAGTTTCCCAAACCATAAAATACAGTGAAGGCAGACGGACCAGATTTTTCTTCAGTAGCGGCCTGTCTCGGACTTCTGAGCCACGGCCAAAGGAGGCACGCTGGAGAGTGGATTTATGGAGCAAAAGAGCTGTTCTTCCCAGCGCCCAGAGCCCCCTGCAAACCCCTCCACTAGGCAGAGGCTCCCCCTCCCACCTCCCTGCCGGGCCTTGGTTCAGCCTGACCCCTCTAAGACAACTCACTACACCCAATCCAGAGTGAGTCAAGATGACCCTGTCAAAACAAAAGCCGCATTCACGTGTCTCTCTCTCTCTCTCCACCACAAGTCCCCTGGCCTAAGGCGCTGGCCATCCCCTCTCACCTGGACATCAGTCACCTCCTCCCTGGGCCCCCCACTTCTTTCCTCGCCCCCTCCGGTCTGTTCGCCATGCAGTAGCCTCTTGAAACGCCCATCCGCACAACTTTAAAGGCTTCCCCAAATGAGATCTGAAGTCTATGCGCATATCCCTGAGCCCTGGCCTGTCTCCCCATCCATACCTGCCCCTGTATCCCAGCCTGACTCAGCAACAGCCCCGCTGACCTCCTTGCTATTCTTCAAGTACCTTCCACCTTCAAGGTCTCGAGTGCTGTTCATTCTGCCAGAAACTCTTGCCCCAAGAGCTTCACACGGGTGCTTCCCTTAATTCCTTCATGTGTGTATTCAGTCAACCCTTCCTTAGAGTGGCCTGTCAGAAAGACCCCACCCCTTTTCCCTAACACCTGTCACCAGCTCACACTGCATCAGGTATCATCTGTTTAGGGACCCTCGTCCTGCTAGGTCAGGGGCGGGCAAACAGACTGAGTTTGTAAATAAAGTTTTATTGGAGGGCACCTATCCCTGTTTGCTTACATATGGTCTGTGGCTTGTTTTTGCACTACAGCAGGAGGGTTGATAGGGGTGCCTGGGGGCTCAGTCGGTTGAGCATCCGACTTTGGCTCAGGTCATGATCTTACAGTTCGTGAGTTCAAGCCCCGCATCAGGCTCTGTGCTGACAGCTCGGAGCCTGCTTCGGATTCTGTGTCTCCGGCTCTCTCTGACCCTCCCCCCACTCAAGCTCGCTCTCTCTCTCCCTCCCTCTCTCTCTCTCAAAAATAAACATCAATAGCAAAGTTGATAGTTGCGACAAACACTCGATGGCCCACAGAGCCAAAAATGTCATCTGGCCCTTTAGAGAAGACTGTGGCCCATGTGCTAGACTCCAAGCTGCACCCGTGTTGGGACCGTATCTACCAAGGCTCAGCCTTGTTTGCCAGATCCCTAGCACGGGCTGTCCATACACATTTGCTGAGTGAGCAAACAACGGAAGAACCATGTCCAAGGTCTGGGCAGCCAGATAGGGGACTTCTTCCTACAGCCGTGTGACTGGCCCCTGCCTGGGGGAGCCGAGATCGCCGCACAGGTGACCCTCCTCCTCTTCGGTATCCTTTCTGGGCCCTCCTGGGGTAAGCGCTGCCTGGTTTAGCTGAGCTGATCTCCTGGGGTCCAGATGGTGCCCCCACCCCCCACCCCCCTGCCAGGGTGAGAGCCCAGAAATGGCTTCTCACAGGCCTTAGGCTAAAAATGAACAATCTGAACTAGACCAGCCAGGCCAGGCCCTGCTGGCCACATCTAGCCTCACCTCTCTACTCTCCCTTGGACTCCAGCCAAACTGGCCGTCTTTCTGTTCTTAGAAAGCACCTGCCTTCTTTCTGCCTCAGGACCTTTGCATCTGCTGTTCCCTCTGCCACAACAGCTCCTCCCCCACCCCACCCAGGCCCCTTCTCTACATAACGAAAGCCACTCATTCCTTCCAGCTAAAGCGTCATGGGCTGGGGAAGGCTTCCTGATCTCCGTGGCTAGATCAGAGGCCACACTTCTCTGTTCTGTCCATACACTTTCCAAAATTCCAAATGAGAAACTGTGAAGTTAGTTAGTTATTGTCTGCCTCTCTTCCAACCTCCAGCCCCACCCCTACCAACAGGAAATTCCATAAGGGCTCTCTCACCCCCTGGGGTATTCCTAGCACCTGGACAGCCCCACCCAAAAAATGTGTTGGTTGGCTGAATAAAAGGAAAAAATAAGAGTTCAGAAAAGTCTATGTGAAATATTTAAACTACTACTCAAAGATGCTAATATCCAACCAAAACAGTAGAAAGATCTCACCTCAAGAGAGGGCGATTTGGTAATACCTAACCAAAATTCCAACATACATATCTTTGGAACCAAGCAATGTCACTTTAGAAATTTGTCCCGCAGGGGCACTGGGGGGCTCAGTCAATTAAGCATCTGACTTTGGCTCAGGCCATGATCTCACAGTTTGTGGGTTCAAACCCCTCATCAGGCTCTACACTGACAGTGCAGAGCCTGCTTGGGATTCGTTCCCTGTCCTCTCTCTGCCCTTCCCCAACCTGTGCATGCGCGCACAAGCTCTTGCTCTCTCAAAAATAGATGAAACTTAAAATTTATCCTGCGATAAACCCTCATATGTGCAAAATGAAGTATGTGGAAAATTAGTTAATTTGGTAATCCCAAAAGACTGAAAGCAACCCAATGTCCATCAATTGGGGATGGGTTGAATTCTAGTTTCTTCAAATAATGAGCTACATAGGGGTGCCTGGGTGGCTCAGCTGGTTAAGCGTGTGACTCGGTTTCCACTCAGATCCTGACCTCATGGTTTGTGGCTCTGCGCTGACAGGGCAGAGCCTGCGTGGGATTCTCTGTCTCCCTCTCTCTCTTTCCTTCCCCAACTCATGCTTGCTCTCTCAAAATAAATAAACTTTAGAAAAGAAAAACAGGGCCACCTGGGTGGCTCAGTCATTAAGTATCCAACACCTGATTTCAGCGCAGGTCATGATCTCACAGTTCATGGTTCGAACCCACATCAGGCTCTGCACTGACAGCATGGAGCCTGCTTGAGATTCTCTCTCTCCCTCTCTCTCCTCTCTCCCTCTCTCTCCTCTCTCTCTCTCTCTCTCTCTCTAAAATAAATAAACTTTAAAAAATTGTAAGCTGCTGTGAGGCACAGTTTATAGTAAATAAAATGTAAATGTTGAACAAAAATAAAAAACAATACAACTATATAAAGGGTTTAAGAAGTTCTTTCAGCCTTGATATGAAATGACAAGATAAAGCGCCAAAGAAAAGCAAGGTACATACAGTATGCATAGTACAAAAACACAGGATAAAAGAATGCGCTCGCATGCGGGCGCGCACACACAGCTGCTGGGTGCTTAGGCTCTCTCTGGAAGTTCTAGGTAACAGGGACTTCTTCCAGGGAAGGGAACTAAGCTATCAGACAGTAGAGGCATGGCCGAAAAGAGATTCCATTTTCTGCATTACCTTGAGAAAAGAAATACAATTCTCAAAAGAATCAGGTTTTTATTTTATTTTAAAGGGGATGGGGCATAACAGGATATATAGTAATGACACCTTGGTTTAAGAAGCAGGAAATTGAGACACAGCCTTATGCTGCAACTAGCTCTGTGACCTGGGAAAAGACCCCCAGCCTGGCTCCGTGTCTCAACCTTCCTGTTAATAACAGGACAGCAGTAAACTGCATCAGTTTCCCTGGTCCCTTCTGGCTGTGAAATCCTTTGATTTTTCTAGCTGGGGTCTGTAGGTTCTCAAGTTCTCAGTCAACAACACACGTACACGGACTCCTTCCTGGCAGGTAACGGAGCGCTGATTTTTATTCCAGCAAGAGATCACCATCAAGTCCACGTCCCACAGCATTCTGATAACCCGCTGCCCCGTGAACCAGCAAAACCAAACCACAGAAAATCTCTTTGCAGAAATTCTAGTCTCATCAGACAGAACCACAGCACATCTCACCAAAACACCACCCCTTTGGGCCTGATGGGAACAGTCACAGAAACTCGGCCCCGAAAACACACATCGCTCACGCTCGCTGGCGGACAGCGCAAAACAGAAAGGCCGGTTTGCTGAGCAGAAGCATCCAAAGCATTTACACGGGGTTTAATTAATCCAAGCAGCCGAGTTTTTCCGTTTTCTTTTCCTCTCAAGATTCTGTATGTTTCAGAGAAAGCAGGGAGTTTGAACGTAATTTATCATCATTCCATTCTCGGCCCCCTGGGGGTGGGACAGTAAGTATCCCAGA